GAAGATGCGAGAAGCTGTTTCCTAAAAGGAACAAATCAAATGACGGTACAAACTTTCCATGACATTGCATTAATACATTTTCAGAAATAAACATGGGCGCAATTGCAAATTAGGTAACACAGAGTAATCAGAATCGTTCTGCTATTTTTTCCTGCCATTGAATCAGAATTCTTCACAATCACATGACAGATGTTTGGGCCGAGAAAAAATGTAATGAAAGGGGCTGTTGTCCGAAATGTTATATGTTTTGGAAATTTAATCAGGCATCGTGGATACCGTTTTCGAATACGTTCTGTAGGGACTGTGATATCCCGAACATACTAATTACCTTTTGGACGGTTGAATGCCTATTAAAGTCAAGATTAAAATTGCGAAGTGTATAGTATGCTCTGATACGTATCACTTGGAAGTTTGTTCCAAATCTTTGAGTATTGGGTTAGAAAAAAATGTTGAATGGTTCTCGTAGTAAATTTTGGCATCATGACATTTACCTCTTTGTTACGTATTGCATATATGCTGTTTAAAGATAAGTGAACACCGTTATCATGACTGCGAGTTTGACAGTTTATGATTCTGTACGGAAAACTAAGTTCAGCTTCATTATCCGAAGCCAAAATGGGTCAAATCCAAGTTCATCACATCGCTCTCTGTATATCAACTTTAAGGAATATCCACGTAGCTTTTCGTGAAGCGTCTCTGGACCCTCTGAAGAGCGTGCTGGTCAGATTTCCGCAGATAAGACTGTACCATTGAACAGTATTCCATACACAGCAATACATTTGTTTTGTAAAACCAAATGCTGGTATACAGTGGGTATGGTACATTCTCACGAACGCAAGTGTCTTGGTTGCAAAAAACATCCTGAAAAGGGAGAGAGGATTGAAGTCGAAAAAAATCACCGTTTTCACTGTCATGGAACCAGATAACGAGAGACGATAACGAAAGTGAGTGGGAGAGCCATTGTCAGAAAGCCGAAGGTGGGAACTGGAGGTATATATATAAATAAAAAATAATGTGTGTTTTTGTACGACTATGGCCAGTGTTCTCGCTGATCCACCTACATGCTCGGCACCACTATTCCGATAGCAGAAGTATCTAATGCGCCACTTACATGGAGCCTTATATTCGCACCTGCTGACCTATCGCACCCAACCTTTAACGAATCTGCCCGATTACTATCGGTCTACTTAGTGTGAAGAAAATGGCTTCTTATAATGACCGGTTTCAAATATTACGCACTACCCACAACAGCATCAGTCTACCCACTCTGGTGTCTAACCTTGAAACTGTTGTAGCATCACTCCTCATCGACTCGATTAATTATGAACTAGAAGCGCCAACTCGGAGCAAGTCGTTCACCAACGTCGAATAAATCTCATGCTGGTTCCGGTAGTACAACAGCGTTCAGGTGATGGGTTATCTAGTGACTCCTTAGAGGGTCAGTGCACAAGGGACTACATTGACCGACGGCTGTCAGCTATCATTCTATGCTATACTAGTCTCATTAAAGAGCTGAGCTCAGGTTTGGTTTGGTTTGTCAGTTATGATTCGCCTACCGCTGTCCTCATTGCTGTACTACTAGTACAGAAAAAGCTGGTGGAATTTATGGGAAAACAAGTATACTCGTACATAATTTAGTTTAAAGAAAGAGAAATAGAGCAAAAAGGTAGGGTCTTTTATCAAATAGATTGAGATATATAATTAACCGACAAAAAGCAAGTACAGCTTCGATTTATGACTGTGTCATGTCTGAACTAGTCTATCTCTTGATACAACTGTTTCTACTGATTTCATATGAGAAGACGCTAGGTTCAAGTCTCCCTCGGGTTGAATCTGTCGACAGAAGGCTGGCTCTCGTCATATTGACGGTTGATTTGGTCACACTTTTGTACAATGTAAGGTGCATGAACAGGTTCATGCCTACGGACAAGCTACATGCTCGTGTTTCTTGTCTTAAACACCGTCGTTGACAATGTGTACCTCAGATTCTTATCGATCCAATGATTACTGGAGCTCTTGTTCGAGTAATGATTCCGATTTTGTACCCAATATACTATAACTTTTAGGTTGCTATAGATATACACGAAAAACTTTCGTGTACTATTTTCTAACGCCTTGCGACCTTCTGAGTTACGATATTTACCTCTTGGTAGCTAATTTGTATGCAATACGCTTATCCTGGTCACATCCTTTGTAGTCGAACGTCATCCACTTAACAGATTACATGAACATAGAATATGCCAACAGTAAACTCACTTAAGGTTGCAGCGGTTGACGAAGTGATACTGAAAAAGGTTGCAAAGGAACGATATTTGATGAGCCAACCGTACATTTAGGATGTAAATTACCGCTGCAGCACGGGGCTGATTTGATGTCGGATTTTTAATCAACCAATTCACTCCTAAAACTACTTAACTCAAATGTACAGCGGTCACACGCGCTGTGTTGCTATGACCTTTCAAATATCCAAGAGCCCATCGGAATCTTGCATTTCATGGGAAAAAGTTGGAGCTTTACATAGCCCATAGTGATGGCAATATATCGGTTTAGCAATATAGGGGATGCAGCACAAAACCGCAGGGAAGATTGTTATTGTAGCAATCAGGCTTTTGATTGCTGGACACTGGATATGTCAAGAAACCAGTCTTCTTTGATTACTGATGCTCATACTGCACCGTTCAGTAACAGGTGAGGATGATTGGTAGTCACCATTTGTTGTTTATCAACAGGCCTTCTGGTGGCGGCCGGAGGCCGAAAGAACCACCGGAAGTTACCGGTTTGAATCCGCGTAGGTGCGGGTGACGTCGCGGTTAGTGCAATTGCTGATGGTTGCGTGGCAGTGAAACCTCAGAAGATGTGCCCGCGTATTGATGATGCCGTTCACATCACTTGTTGAACCTAAGGCACTTGCGCTGGTCACATCATCTTCCTTGCTGGGTTGGTGTGCTCACTGGGCTTAATAATCAGGTTGCAAGCGTTTCATCAACAGACGTGCACCTGGACCGCCAAACCAGGCCACCAGTGCTTCGAGTACCGTTCCGGTACATATCCACTGACCATCATCCAACAAGTTATTTTTTTACGGACAGCGCACCATTTTCGATCCAACTTCAACATGATCACTCGATTGAATGGCGCATGAATGAAATAAAAGACCGATAAAAGGAATTGGATCATTGAGTTCTGTTGACGGTATGGAATCAACGGCGTCACGATCCACACGGCCATGTTGCGCCCTATGTCATCGCGATTGATCACACGTATTGAAGGCTAAGAAGTAGAAAGAAACTGTGATTTATTATGACGGAGGCACTGCACCTATTGAAATCGATCAGTCAATCCCCGCTTGTGCATGAACGCTGTGCATGTATTAGCACCACTCTTCTGTGAGATCTATGGACTTAGTAAATACTCTCTTTCTAAGCGGAGCACCATTAAGCTCACTACCAGACAGGCAGTTTTGTGAAGTTATGCGTTAGCTAACAAGCGGTTCCACGAGCCAATTTCATACCGTTTTATCCGATAACTTTACCTTCATCAGCCCTTTTCAATTTTTCCTATGTCTTTCCGCTTTCTTTTATTCAGCTTACCTTGCTTACAATAATATTATTAATTATTATTATTATCGTGTTTAGAATGGTGTTGCTAGTGCATACAGGAGGGTTCCGCACTTCTGTGCTTGACCCATGGTAGATTACCGGTATCGAACTAAGCAGGCATCTCAGCGGATTACAGGCCCGTAATCAATAAAAGGAGAGTGGTCATTCATCTCTCAATCAACCGAAATGTATATATCGTCGGTGAATTTTTAACTGAATTCATGTGGAAAGCTTCCTCATTAGTAGTTTATAGAAACCGGTCTTCAGAAGCCAGTAATAAATGGAGTAACATCTCTTGAATGATGCCCATTTATTTCCTTAAGTTCAGAATGAAGAACAAAATATTAGGCTTTAAGCAATCGACTGTTTGCGAATACTTCATCCTGGATTTATACGTTAGTATACGGTATGGTACATTTGCTGTAAGCTTCCACATAACTAGGAATCAATTGGTGTCTTCCGACTGACGGGCTGAACCACGAAAGATAATGATGTTGATGCCGCTGCTGACGCTGATGATGATGGTGGTGGTGACGATGATTATGAGGATGCTGATGATGATGATGATGATGATGATGATGATGATGATGGTAATGATGATGATGCTGCTGTTGCTGATGATGGTAATGATGATGATGCTGCTGTTGCTGATGATGGTGATGATGATGATGATGCTGATGATGGGTGATGGTGGTAATGATGATGCTGATAATGATGCTGCTGCTGCTGCTGCTGACGATGATGATGGTGATGATGATCATGATGATGATGAATACCTTTGGTTGGATACACATGCCAACATGACGAAGAGTCGACCTCAGTGGCATTGTGTTATGAGTATTTATCTCTCATCCTCCCAGTTAGCTTCCCCCTCCAATCACCATCTCACCCTTGATGCACAACATAATATCAGGAAATATATTACCTTTTTGTTTTTATTTGTTTTCATCACTGATTAGTATCTCGCTTATTCATATGTTATATGTTTTATTTTGGCAAATAGCGGAAGTTTTTCTCACCTTTAAGAAACACGTACCGGTGATAATGATGCTGGAGAGGAAATCATTCTTTTCGGATGTTGGTCACATCATATCGGCAGCTAGTGAAATCAGCGGGCCCGTGTAAGTGCGTGAGTTGTGTTTGGGGCAGATTCACTTGTGCTTGGAGTCGTCTATCGTGAACAGACTATTCATATCGTCTAGATTGTTTCTACTCATTTATACCCACAGCTGATAATTTGGCTCTCGAAGAACTAGCTGTGATTGGGAGAAACTATCACCTCGAGGTACAATGAAGGAGTTCAGTGGTGCGGTTCTGCTGCGCTGTCCAATCACATGGACTGTAGTTCGCCTTCTGTGTTCCATATGACGAAACCAAGATGATATTCTCTTTCTTTTGCAGTTTCTCTTATGAATGTCGCAAGACGAGTCAGATGATGATCGGGTTATCGGAGGAGATCATAGGCTCCGTTTAAGCACAGGTTCTTTCGATGAGTTGGATCAAAGTAATGAACCAATCCAGTCCCAAACAAACCTGGACGATCTCGAGCCAACTGACAGGGTTGGCGGTGAGCCAACATACGAGCTCGACGGTGGCGGCATAGGTCCACCAAGTTTATATCAGGCGAACAATAATGCCGACGAACGTCCGGAAAGAGATGAAGCGGAAGACGAGGAGGCAGCAAAAAGCTCAGTTGACGCACCACATGAGGAAGCCAAACCGCAAGGTAGAGAAAATCAAGAAGGGGCTTCTAATACTGGAAATTTGTCTGAAAGTGACTCCAAGATGGGTGAGCCTGCAGATGGAACTGAACAGACGGTCAGCGCTGCGCGCAATGCGGAGGAAGATGGGGAAAGAGACGCGGACATGGATGAAGGATTAGAATCCGAAAGCGAAGCTGAAATGTTTAGGGCAGAATTGAAGCCAAAACAAATAATCGATCCCAACTTCACATACAACCGCGATGAAGCCGTTTCGAAGCCAATGGTGTCTGAAAACTCAGGAATCCCTGAACACCTTTTGTCCATGTTTCATTCATTTGGCTATGATGCGCTGAGAAGAGAAAATCTGCAGTTACTGGAACCAGACGTTGTGTGCTACGTGACAGGGAATTACTTAGAAATCCTAAACTTGACAACAGATGCTAAGAGGTACTTACGCACCATAATGGGGCTGGGCATTGGGGCCTTCTGTGCGCACACCAAACAAAGTGTGATTGCGATTGCCGAAAAGGGTGACAATCCACCAGTCTGCATTTACCGCTATCCAGAACTGGATCTTTATCGAATTCTTTCGGAAGGAACACTAAAGGAATATTCTGCTTGTCAATTCAGGTAGGTTGGAACAAATTCTCCTTGTTAAATGCTGTTTCTTTCCTACAATTCCTAGAAACATTTTGGAGGAAATTAGAAAAGTGAGATGTAATGTGGGTCTGAACTCAAGGTAAGGCTGAAAAGCATGGATGACACGGATCTGTTACTCAATTTGGCACACCCAACAAACGTAGTAGGTGCATAATACGGCAACTTGAAGACGACCATGAGATGCCTGAACAGCGTCCATTTCGCAAAACTCAAGCAGCGTACAGCAAAAGATGAGCGGATAGATGGTTCACAGTTTGATCAATTAAGAGATTCGGGGTCACGTTCAATGCATTGCTATTCGGTTATATGACTATCAACGTCCGATGTGCTTGCGTTTGTTTTCTGGTGCTGTGCGAATAGAGAAGAATTAAAATATACGGATCAAAGAGAACTACAAAATTGTCCTGTATTCGGTGATTTCCAGCACATTGTGAGCACTCGTCTTGTATTGCTGCTTCACTTTCATTAAAAATTGTCAGCTGTACGCCGTGACGGCGCTTCGCTGCCATGCGACCACCGCCAGTCGCAGGCTGGTTGGGTATACCGCGAGAGCGCCCACCCCTACGCGTATTCGAACCCTCGCCGCAAGATTACAAGCTCGTTACCTCTAGGTTACAGGTTGACACTCATTAGAGAGCTCGGCATATATATATATATATTATATATATATGCTGACAATATGTGTACAGATGTTGTTCCATCGGACCCATTGCGGAATAGGAAAACATGATTAGTGAAAAGAAGAAAGAAAACGCAATACTTTTCGTCCATTTTCCCACTCACGGTTTTTAAGTTTTGGATGTTTTTATATTGGATGAGGGAAGGGGAATCACCGCAACAAGCAGAGACCCACGACCGCCACTGAGTTCGATTTTGAGTCATAACTTCCAGGGTTTGCGACCAATGGCACTCAGCATCTTTGGGACACCATGCAGAGAGACAAGGAGAACCAACCTAGGCCAGCTGTTTTGTCAGCGTTTTTATCATGCTTCTCCAAGTTGTAGGCTGTCCACCACGCCGCCTCCTCCATCCCTGTCCAGCGACAGTTTTGTCTTCAGCCTTCTGTCTCCCAAGCAACAGGGCCGCTCAAATAAATTAGGACCCGAATTAGCGAAGGCTAAATCTGTGTGGCGTACGAAACAAAGACGCCATCACCGATACTCCTCTAGACTGACTTCTGTGTCATTAGGCAGGTAGCCCGTTCCAGATTGTGTAATGCAGGCACTACAGGGAATAGGTTCGTCTTTTATTTCATAAGCCTTCTTGGTTAGTGCATTTCTATGATTGCATTACTTCTACATGAGCTCTACTGTAATCACGACTCAGGATACAGTTGCTTTGCAAACAGATAGCAGGTGCTGAATGGACCATTCGACACTAGATTATACACGCTGGGTTTTGAGCAGTCGCAGGATCTGACCTAACTCGTGCTCAACTGCTGTCCAGAGACAGTTGGCTTGGACAATCAACCAGCAGGCCAACGTGGGTAACATCATGTCACTCAGTTGCCAAGTACTCGCAGACACCGGCTTCAGAGAGGCGAATTTCCTCTCACCGTCCTACTCCAATAGGAACGAGGATACTCTAGTTAAGAAATTGGTTTCGTCAGTTTGAAACCGGCTCAAGAAGTTGCATTTAGAGAATATGCCGTAGGAGATGTGGGGTCTGTCGTGTAAAATTTGTCTTACAGCCTATACTTCCCGGGTTCAAGTCCTTGCTCTAGCATTGGTTCGGAAACTCATGCAGTGTCCCAGCTCATATGAAATCAGAATCGGTGATATATATACATCTTCAGTATCAAGCATTAGCAGTAGGCAAGTACGCAGTACCGACGCTTCGCTGCCGGGCAACCACCACCAGTCGCACATGGGCTTAGGATAATGCGAGGGTTGCCCGGCCCCTACGCAGGCGTGAACCCGCGTCCACAGATTACAGAACAAGCTTGTAATCCTTACGGCTACGGTCCGGCAAATACGCATAGCAATGAAGCCATCAAAACCATGGAAATCCAAGGAAGGTCCAGTTATCGTAAAAGTAACACTAAACAAGAAGCAGAGTAATTCAGTCTGTTGCTCGGAGATAAAGCTGTGGAATATCAATAACTTACTGTTACCCTTTCTTTCTGGCAATTCTTAAACCAAATACCTACGAGAGAACTGGTAAAACCCAATGATAGTGACGGGTCTTCACAATGCCCTCGAGACAATGTGGACGTCACCGCTGTCAACTGTCTGAGGCGTGAAGTCAAGTGTGCGTTTTTGTGTTGTATATCCCTGATGGTAGTTGATGTTTGTAGAGCGTAGGCGTAGTTTCTCCGCCACGAGCTGCTGTTTGAACACGAAATGAATGTGTATCAGTCCATCCTGGCTAGCTGTTATAGATGAACTTACTCGCGACAACCCTCTTGTTCTGCTCAAGCGACCTAGCTTGGACGATGAACTCTTTTTATCCGATTTGTTCTCTGGCTGATTTCACTTACTCTGACGGTTATAACATAAAGTATATATACATGTAACCATCCATGTCTGCTGCCAGTGTTTAATACCCTCGTCATTGGGCTAGACCTGTAGATTTTGAGGCATAAAAGTGGTTCGGTAATGCAGGCCTGAATCTTCTCAAAATCAACGCGATAGCTGGATGTACATTGAGGAAACCGAATAAGAGTAGGATTTTCCGTGGCATGCCATCGATTGGCTACTGCACAGCAACATAGGCGTCAGTTTCTCATAGAACACTTTAAGAGCATTTTGTTTATACCCGAAAGTGGGTCTGATATATGTTTACAAGGGAGCGATGTGGAGTCTGGGTGGTATAAAGCCGAAATCCTCACATCTAAACTCTGTCAAATTGCCATTGCACGTCCAGAAAAGCACTTATACCGTTTTCACCCTCCTCCTGCTCCCGTGTAATCAGTACGCAGTCCAGCTTACTTATAACGCTGTAACTTAATTGGACGCTTAAGTTTGGGAAGTCGTTGAGAGGGGGTTACCCGTCTTTTGCACAGGGAGGCAGTAGAATATGAGCTGCACTATATCGCGTCCAGTAACTCATTTGTGTCGGCCACCACTGTTCCGCGTCACCCGAAAGACTTAGCCTGGCAATCATAAAAGCAATGTCTTTGGTTATAACCTTCCAGTAGTCAGATGGACTGCGGAGTATTGATTATTTAAAAAATGGAACATGTTGGTTGTCCAGCCGAGCCCAGCAATTATGAATCCAGTTTGTTCTGTCTGCATTTATTTTTCATCAGCCCTGATGGCGAGCTGATTGCCACGGTGGGTTCCGATCCAGATTACATGCTGACACTTTGGGAATGGCGCAACGAACAAATCGTTCTTCGGTCCAAAGCTTTTTCGCAGGATATCTACCGCGTGGCATGGTCTGCTGACTTGGAAGGCATCCTTACAACTGCCGGTGCGGGGCATATTCGATTTTGGAAAATGGCAAACACATTCACTGGCTTGAAGCTTCAGGGTAAACTTGGAAAGTTCGGGAAGACCGAATTGTCAGACATCGAGGGATTTGTAACGCTTCCTGACGGTAAGGTACTCACCGGTTCTTCTTGGGGCAACCTATTGGTCTGGGAAGGAGACCTGATCAAAGTGCAAATCTCCCGGAAAAACAAACGACCCTGTCATTCTGGTCTTGTAATGCACATCGTGATGGATGAAGGGGAACTGATGACCATTGGACAGGACGGCTGGATTCGTACCTGGGATTTTGAAACTGTGGACACGGCGGAATGTATAGAGGAAGGCGCTATTTTTGAATTGGAACCAATGAACGAACTTCAAGTTAGTCCACAGGCTAAACTGATCTACCTAGTGAAATCGCAGGATGAAGAATCAACTTGCTGGTTTGCACAAGTGAGTTTTACCTATTACACATTCCCATTGACGTTGAGACGCAGCTCAAGTTTTCCTGTGTTTGGTGTGGATCATCTATATCGCACCGCGTACACTATAGAATGAGCATGATAGACACCTTTAACCCATATCGTCTAAATGCCTGCAGTAATGTTTGGAATGCCGTCATTGTCACTATCCTCAATATTATAGGTGACTGAAATTTCGTTTTCCTAAGTATACGATTGATGAATGAAGTAATTTCATCGGGTTGTGCATAATGGGGGGGGGTACAAAAGTGCCGTGATAACAGCCAAATCTTACACTAACTTCACCATTGAGTGTTTGAGTTGATGGTTCGAATAGAGACGCCGGTTAGATTCCAGAAAGTCAGTGTTGCGGTGATCTATTGTCAAGCTTTTACTACAGAGCCTACGATGAAATTTTTGGTGCCAAATCTAGCGTAATAACGCGGAGCTCAATGACTTGATCGCTGAATGTGTGTAAGCTGAAAATGGCCACATGACATGGACTTGCAGATAGAAATAAGACACTTGGTTCAACACAGCAAAGTTTGGACCTTGTACACCTTCACCTCCTACCGCGCTTGTAATTACGGTTGGTTACATCTGCTGCAGCTTTGTCTGCGGTGACGACAATCAACCGTCACGGGATGCGCCACTCAACTCCGCTGGCACCTACTCTATTCGTTGTGAATGTGGAGAAATAAGACTTAGAAGTGTATAGACAGGAGTCATAGTCGCACTAAACTGGACCACACGCCCTCAACATTCATGTCACCGACGAAAATATGGGAAGCTGTGCTTACAAGCCACATCTTTATAACTAGGCGGCGGCCTATTGCATGCAAAACCGACTTAAGCTGTCAAGAAGACTGAAATGATCCTGTTCCTGGACAACTATTTGCCATGATCTAGACAGCGATCTGCAGCGGCAATCGTAAGGTGGATACAGCATCAACACTCGCTTTAGGTGGATCCAGGCTTGGAGTGTCACTCACAGAGGAGCACTAGAGACTGATCAGTCATTCGCGTTTTATCCCGACAGAAGCGGTAGATCACAACATACGTCGCGTCATCCCCTTCGTAGGAAAGCTGGAAACTAAGCTCATCACAACCAACACCATTCCGACTTGTTGCTAAAACACTTCCAAACGATTCTGTCGCTTATACTGTCCACAATTGTCTTCAGTTGAAGATGTCTTTTGTGTTTATACCTCTTACCGCTAATTTTAGTCACTGCCTATCCTTTTACACTAGTGGAAATTCGTAGGCAGATGGTCTCTCAGTCTGTTAGTGCAGAAAATTGATGTAGACATTATGTGTTGGTGCTTCTAGTGTAAACGCTTGCAGTTAATTCTTTTCAATGTGTGTAAGGGGACGGAATGATCCTTTCAGTTTAATTGGACTAACCCGTGATCTGTCTTGACGCTCTACCCGTTAGATTGTGGCAACTTCGTTCACAACACAAATACACCTTCCATCTGCTAGGCACCGAATACTGGTGTGTGAATTTTTATGTTCCATTTATATGATTTGCACTTTGACAACAATGAAGATTCGTGAATTTAATGACAGCAACTTACTCCCTCGGTGTTTCCTTTAACTACCCGAATCACTAATACCATTCCGTTTTAATCCAGGACGGGGATGGTGTAATCTGGAAACTGGATCTTTCGTTCTCTCATACTTCTACGGCACCGGAGCCTTTGGTCAAGTATCATTCTGGGGGGATCACAGACTGCTGCACCTCCCCATTTGCATACACTGCAGCAACGATTGGAATGGACGGTGAGGTTTTTCTTGTATTGTCTAGCGTATTGCATCTACATCTGGTGATGCGGAGAACACAAGTGTAATTCACCGAGCTATCCTTCAAATACTCCTGATACTTTGCATTGTGTGTGTCTAGATGCAAGTGATATGGTTGGCTTACATACACCTCACTGATTAAGTCTTGAGTAAAAGTAAACTAAGTGTGGTGCGACGTGTGAAAGAAAATCAAGCTGACAAGAAGTTATTCTGCGCAGCTGCTCTAGACCACATACCATTAGTTTTTGGAAATCAGCTGCCGGTCGTACTTGACTCTTTCAACACCACCTTGTCCACCACATAATGGACAGGTAACCTGCACGTTGAGACATTTATTTGGAATTTTCGGATCTGTCCGGTTTAAGAGCCACTGTTGTTATGTGCGTCTTATGGTATACAAGTTATTGCTGAGGGGGAATACGACTGTGAGCTGCTCATAATCTGCATGTTTCATATATTTCACCATACACATAAATGAGCGCAGTGGTATTATTGACTGGTACTTTGCAGGTCGGATCATTATCTATGACCTGGTAACGAAGAAGAGTATTTTGCGTCGACAGTTCCCTACCCCTGGAACTAAATTAATTTGGAGTCCTCCACAGGTAAGTAAGGGAATGTACCGAAGTGCACCTGGTTACCTCAATACAGAGAGTGCTTATTGGTAAGACGTGCCTATTAAAACGTTTACTTGTAACGAACTGATTTAGGTGAAGCAGCGCATAAGTTAAACGTTGGTTGTTAATGTGGTGTTATTGTTTGTTTACCCACATGACGGTCATTGAATGGTTTTATGACTAGTTAGGTACAGTTTATGAACATTCCACTTTCAACCGCTACAACACTCACCCTTACCATTTACCCTATGCACTATAGTAAAACAAGTTTTAAGCGATGTCTGGAAATAGTCTGTTGGTATATTTGTTGGTGAAAGTCCATGCTGATGATATCGCCATATTCGGTGACGACCCCCATTATGCAACTCATTCTGAATCGCTTGGTGATCGAAGAAATTAAGTATGAGATGAGCTGCGCTTTCTCGAAATGCGAAATCCGTTTCCGGATTATGTATCCATCTATCCCAATGCACAATCTTGAAGATAAGGAGTTTGAACGAGTGGACATCTGTGTCCAGTTGAGAAGCTACACTTCTGCTGAGGACACCGTTTGATGGGTTTTCTGCATTCCCAAAGCTCGTTCAAAGTTCGCCAATCTGAAGCATCTGTGGTGTCGCCAGGAGGTTTCAATCTTTGTGGAGGAGGAAGGTTGACAATACCCATGATCGTGCCGTGTTGCTGTACGGAAACTAATACTGGCTGATTTGTGTGACTAGTATGAATCAGATTTCAGTCTTTGACAACGGTTGTTTGCCAAGAAAATATCGTATTTGATTGGAACACCCTAAGTTTCAAAGTCGGCATCGTGTCCTAGTTAGTGTAGGTTTCCCTCGCAAAAAGCTCGTATTCCCGAGTAAATTGAGACGGCTTGGTCACCTCCTTACACATGTCATGCGTGCTCTTACCACTGCGTGCTTTATTCACTCGCACAGAACAGAAGTGAGGGTTAGTTGCGCGGCGAAGAAGCGTCAAACCGAGGACTTCTAGTTAAGCCGATGTTCTCCAGGCTTTGGGGATCAACCTATAAAGAACATCACTGGCTCGAAACGCTTCGGTACACGGCGCGAATGGAGCTTAGTGGCAGATTAATATGAATTAATGCCTCGCTCTAAATGTTCAACATCACAATCATTAAATGGCCAAAAGAAAAAACGGCGTGTGGGAAGCACAACAAGTTTCGTTTCTATCCGTTTCCCACTTTGTGTCAAAAGCGAAATGTTACCAATTAAATAAATAAATAGATCTACGGGTAGCAATTACAGGGACATTTCATACAAATCCTCCTACTCACGAGTAGTCCAAATTTACTCTAACGACCTTCAACAACCTCTGACAACCAAATGATATGGGTTGACCTCCTAACTTTGGAGGCTAGCTACTGCCCTCTACAAGGTTACTGAGCTGCATAACAGTGGAGAATGGGTCTCCTTGTATCCCGTTTAGCTAGCAACTTACAGTTCAACCTGCTACGGCGACCACCTGTCTAAGGCGACTAGCTAAAGACATCCCCAACGTTTTCTTTTAGAAGTAATGCCTGCATGCACCTGTCATGGCGACCACTTTTGTCGGTCCCTTGAGTGGTCACCTTAGACAGACTTGGCTGTATTGTTGTCTGCCGCGTTTCCACATGACCAAGTGGAATAAGCTGCTTGTTGGTGACACAAGCTGCTAATAGTCATTGGTTCGATTCTTGATGGAGCCGAGATACGCACTACTGACCAGCTCCAAGAGAGCGAAACCGCGACCTGGTGCTCTTATGGATTAATGATATAACTATCTGGGGTGAATCAGTAACCTGTGTATAACTGTTGCAATCAGGCGACAGACAAAGAGTCGTCAAGAACCGTGGAATAAACGCGCTTACTAGCTACCAAAGACTCGTTAGGCGAAACGAATACCTCCACTCCCAGCTGAAATCACAATTGCTTGATAGATTTCAAGTTTTTCTTTCTGATTTCCAAACATATGCTGTTAATCGTATACAACTCTCCATAGCGATACGTTTTCTCATGAACCTCTTGAGAGTCTATCAATGTCTGTTTCCATCTTACCTTTGCACGTGTGACATCTGGCGCGTTCGTGCTGATTCGCTGGAGATCCCATGCAAACACCGCCTTGAATCTGGATTCACCCCTTAAAACGGATGCGGCAGATATTTTTCTCTATTGATAGAAGGCTTTCGCTGTGATAGACGGGTTCATAACTGGGTTCTCTTCGATATAGATTGAGCTGGATAAAGTAGCAGCTGGATTTAAGAACCTTTTGTCAAATATGCTCGCAGCTCTAGGAATCACTTGATTTATCTATTTTGAGTAAGCTTAACACCTGTTATTACTATCTTAGGGACATAAAATGTAATAAAAATGCAGCTATAGTAGAAATAAGGTATTTTCTGGAGTACTTTACCCATCCTGTACATTTACAGCATCCATGACAAAGAATCACCTACGACCGTCCTAGTCAACAGGAGCTCACACAGCTGAGACTGAATCATTTCTGCGTAGTTCGATTACAGTGTAACAATCGATGCGTGTTGAATCAGCGCTTCGGTCCTATATGCTGTGGTTTAGGTACCCAAATTTAAAACGTTTTCGGAGCATTTACATGCACCCTCGAAAGTGTTTTCGGTTGTTGAACCGGTCTGCTTAAACTTGCCTTGTTGCGCTCTTAAACCTTTAACTTATGTCGGTGTGCACAGTACGTGTAGCATTGATTAGACGGTAATCTTCCAGTTCATCCAACATATATTCACTATCGTCATCCTCCTCGTCCTCATCAGTTCCAATCCATGCTGCTAGGTGGATCCCAAAGGCAAAACCTTGGTGGCCGGATTCCAAGACGGCGTGGTTCGTGTTTTGCAATTCGGTGAAAATCCAGAAACTGATCCAACTAGAAAAGCCAAGCATTTTGCACTACTTGATTTGGGTCAGGCATTAAAACCACATACAGGTGCTGTCAATTCAATGGCTTTCAATGAAAGTGGCGACTACTTTGTGACCGGGGTGAGTAACGATTTACCGTGTTTTCAGTCTTATTCAAACTACGACAGTTGCGGTCTGATGTTGAAGCGCATCCCTCTCTGGCTTATTCCATGCTCAGACCAACTTTCATAGCTGCTTCTGGCATTAAGTACCGAGTATTCAAACCACAGACAGTATGCAGCCCCTTCAGGGATGTTTTTCGTTTATGGGATCTAAGTACTACAGTATTGGAGTATATGGCACATCAAATGACATCCAGTTTACCTTAAATGCTTTTGAAGCCGGCCAAACCTACGGGCAGCAATTGGTATAATGAAACTCGAATTTTGACAGTTGTAGCAGGCATAAGTCATTCACTATTACTTCATTTGCATAGCGATGCATGAATGTGGCCTTTAACACTTAAGTAACCGATTGTTTTCTCACCACCACCATAGAAATGTCCCACAACAGGTTAAGTAAGGGTAATGACAGGCCTCAGTGACGTGGTTAGGGACCAACGTCACCGATGTCACCATTGTGACGGAAAATGTTTGGATCAAGTTGGATCTCCAACACGTTTTGAACCTGTTAAGATGAACGGTCCTAGAAAAGGCACCAGTTCGGTTTGGTGACCATCTCCTCGAATCATTTTTGTTATGAAATTGTCTCTAGCCAGAGGAGAAGTGGGTGTTAATTTGGCTAGTCGGTGCATTAAGTTTTCAAACTTCGTTTCTATATGGAATTGTCCAACAAGCGGTTATGTAAGGCAGAACTTTGGTCCGAGGGATAATGCCTCATGCTGAAGTTGGTTCAACGGTATCCTGAACAGAATGTGCAATATCTTACTGGATTGGACGAGAATTTCGGTTCTGTTTGCCTTGAATGCAAGCTTTTTTTCCTTTCTTGTACATTTGCGCACGCCCTTTGTACCTATTGTCTAAAAATTCACGCTGGATTGTATCATGCTTTTTGACCCTTGGTTCGTAAAGTGCACATGGTCGTTTCAACTCAGGCATTCGGGACTGAACAACATCGTTGGACGCACACGACACCGCCCAGCGTGAGTTTTTTGAACAATATATGCAAAGGGTGTGCGTGAATGTTTAAGAAAAAAAGTTTTAACAATCTCTTAGAATGTTTGCACCCAACGCAACCAGAACCGAAATTCCCTACTAATCCAGAAAGATATGTGCATGATCTGTCTAGGATACAGTTGAAGTAATTTCAACTTGAGGCTTTATATCTCGGACCAAATTTCTGCTTTACACAATCGATCGGTGAGCAAGTATAAATAGAGACGCGGTTTGAAAACTTAATGCCCCAACGGGTTGAGTTAATACCCAATTCATCTCTGGCCAGAGAGACTTTCAAGACCATCTTAGTGCACCTCTGTCAACAGTATTTACACTGCGAGAAGAGTACATTAAACATTCTGTCCAATAAAGATTACGAAACAATCAAATAATTGAAGTCGAACCCGCTCTTATTCTTTCTTTTTCGTTACACTTTGAGTTCACACTCGTAACAGATACCTCGGTGCACTGAGGAATCGCCTCAATCATTTTCTTTAAATTTGCCGTGTGAACAGGCTGAACGGCTTCTTTGATGAGTTCGGAATTTCTGATTTAAACCGGGAAGAACCATTGCAACATTTTGCTTGAAGTCTTTTTGCAAATTTACTGAACACGAGAGTCTTTATCTACTTAGTGTCGTGGTAGCCCTCCGAAAAACAGAACGAATACTTGGCTGCAATCAAAAGCTATTTGGTCAGAAGGCAACATATTATTTGTAGGGCAAACTACACTGCGTTGAGTGGTTTCGATCTGGTCTCCTCTACTTGGCTGCATCTGGCGGAAAGTTAGCATGTTCATCGATCGAGCCAATTAGTCGTGCGGGCTTATAAAGCGACTCCCCCTCACACACGTGGGCGTTGCTGCTCGACTGGCGGTGATCGATCAGGTTTCAGACAGTCGACCCAATTTTGTTTAGATCGTCCATTCGATAAGCAAGCAGCATGACCGAGGTGGTATCTTAACAACACAGCCAAATTGACTCTGCGAATATTATGGTCAGCGTGTCTACTATCAGATTTACTCCTCTCAGATTCAGCATTTGAATGCGTCAGTTGGCTGCTATCAATCTCTGAATCAGTGTTATGATTATCTTCACTGAAAAGCGGATCTTCATCTTCACTGCTTCCAACTCCATCAGATATTACTCCCGATGGCAGCATTTCTCTAATTGTATGCTTCTCAATTCTCCAAGCCATTTTATCCCAAATACCGTCGCAAAAATGAATTTATCCTTAGATCATTGATAATAGTTAATGACAATTCGAAACACTAAATTCCTTTTATAATTTCAAATGAGATTATCAAGACGAGGGTTGTGGGATGACATTATCATTTCGTGCGTACTCTTCAATTATGTACATGCACCTAACATCATCTGTTTTCTATTTTACTATTGATGCTCTACACTCTACTACAGTTGTCTTAGTGTCACTGACAACAGTTTCTGTATGTACTGTCGATCGATAACACTGACATCGAGGTGCTTGAGGATGTGTGACCTTTGACTGCACATGAGGACTGTGAGGGATGCATCGGGGTTTACCTGATGATCGGTGCTCAGCAAATTACTCTTCATTGCTGTGGCAATTTTGCCTCTTGATTCTCCTGGAGCAACCGTCTCATGTTCCATCTGTTTGCTGGGCCACTTTGAAATGTGTTCATTGATCCTGACATCTAGATTTAAACCAATGCGCCTAAGGTAGCTGTTTCCACAATTGCAGATTAATTGGACATGCACTGATTCGACACCGGTGTATTCGCTGAACACTTAAACAATGGTCTTGTAAGTACGAGTAGGCGTAGATTTGCCACACTGTATGCCTTTTTCATTGAGAAGCTTATTCGTTTCACCATAACTTTCATGAGGTGGACCTCTTTGAAAGGCAACTCAATGAAAATCAGTTTCGATCTTGTTTCAACATGTCAATGAAACGCTTTGTGAACTGCAATGGATAGCTATTAGATTGTAGTACGTCACATAGCTGTTATTTCTCTGCTTCCAGTGTATCCGTGGTGCAAATCCTATGAGCTCGATGGAACAAAGTTCGAACTAGGGAGCACTTATGATGTATTGGCGAAAAGCTCTTAGAGTGTAATTACTGACCTGTCCAGGTCCCTTTCCGGTAGACTGATCTGTAGATTGGACTATCTGGGATTCTTATGAGCAGCATGTCTACGTATGCGAGACGATTGTCGTGCTCAGTTTTACATGTCACAGTAGGATTCTGATGCACGCCATTGAGCGCTTCGGTTTCAAGTACAAAGTTTTAAGCTGAATCTGACCCAAGGTAATAGGGTCTATCCATAATTTCTAACATCCGTTCATAATTCAATACCGTTATGTAACAAAATACAGCGGACTCAAATGTGTCGACACACCGGGTGATAATGGGTATTATGACAGTGCTATGTTGTTCCTCCCAGGGACTTCGGAAATCGACTTGCTTCCGGTAAGCAAGGACCCGGAATTGTAGGTTTTCAAGTGGCTTGTCGGTGACCGATTTCCGCATAAATAAGACATCCTCTGATAGCTTATACCTTAAGTCGCTTCTACCGAATCCCTTCAGCTAATGCCCAGAGATACGCGTAGAATAGGAAATCGGGTGCACTAGAAGAATCTTATCTTAATGCTCGCCCCAATATTTTCAGTTTTACTAAGCAGTGGTTGATTTGGAGCACATGTGTAGACACCGACCATGCACTTGTATGTGCTGACATGCAGTTGCGTTTCTCAGGGGGCCCACGGTGACCTTGTGACCGCATTGATACCAGCCAACTGGCGAAGCCAGCTGTTCTGAATGCCTATCAAAGTACGCTGACATGCGCGTTGAATAAGCGCTCACTAAAGACAATTGAACTTCACTGGTCTCATATTCGCCAGATCTTACTAGCACCAGGAAAATCCTCATGCGGTAAGTCTAATCGCCAACATGGACATTGAGTCTCTTCGCAGTCTCTGGAACTTATAGATGCTCGCCGGCATATTCCGGCTGGAAGCGAACACAATGAAACTCGCAAAGAGCTCCGGGCAAAACGCCGTGCTAGCCTGAAGAGAGACCGCGAATCCTGGTGGTCTCATCATGCATCAGAGATGGAAATGGCCGCTGCCCTTGATAACCATCGTAAGTTATTCCGTCTGGTACGGGAAACGGGCAGCAGGAGACCTGGTGTTAGTGAAACTATACGTGACGAGAGTGGACAGCCTATCCACAACTTATCAAAACGGTTAGAACGTTGGGCTGAGCACTTTAAAAGGCAATTTCATCGGTCGGCATGGTTAGATTTCTCGCCGGCCACTGGTCACCCCGCTCCCTGGGCTGTCCCTTTGGATCCACCCTCTCTCTCAGAAGTCGAACGTGAGACCTAACTGTTGAAGTTAAATAAAGCCGCGGGACCAGATGATCTTCCTCCAGCCCTCTTCAAATTCGGGAGATCTGCTCTTATGGATGATTTACATGAGTTACTAGTCAAACTGTGGGAGCAAGAAACTGTCCCAACCGATTGGAGCCACTCCGTCATAGTCCCAATTTTCAAGGGAGGCGCACGACCGGAATGCGACAGCCATAGAGGAATCAGTCTGATCTCCATCACCTCCAAATTGCTTGCCTCTGTCATCCTTCACAGACTGACTGGCACTCGTGAAAGCCAGGTTCGTGAAGAGCAAGCTGGATCTCGTCGAGGTCGTGACTGCATTGACCACCTATTCACCTTGCGTCAGTTATTGGAGCACTGTCACATATATTGGCGGCCCACCATAGTCGTGTTCCTCGATATTACAGGTGCATTCGATTCGATGGATGGATGTGCACTTTGGGAATGTCTACTCAGGAAAGGTGTACCTGAGAAATATGCAAACATTATCCGGGCATTATATGCACTTAGCACGGACAGAGTGAGGGCTTACGGCATTGTATCGCTGCTTGTGTCCTGAACCTGCAGAAGGATACATGGCTGGTCTTGTCTGTGCAATCAAGTGACCAGCCCAAAAACACGAACTTCACCCACTTGACTAGTTAAGGGTTCATTTTCACATGCACCGTTAGTTATTCAAGCCACGTCGACCTGATATCGATGGTGACTACATTGCCTGCGGTCCCAACTCCTGTGAGCGCTAAACTGCGAATAATGGTAAGCTAAACAGAAGTATTCATTAGCTAGATTGAACACATCTATTTCGGCAGACATGTGTTGTGCTTTTAATAACAGTTCTCTTGTTTGCAATAGTTTGGTGTTTTGTGAACCGTCGGGACCAGATTCTCAGCGTAATGAGTCGAGCTGAAAGATTTATGCTCGAGCACTGGGTAAATTAGCTCTGCCTGTCAGTCGTTTTGGGCTATGCTTTGCACCGTCGAAATGCAAAGTCCTCCTCCAAGATTGGCACTCCCACGTTGACCCTTGGGGGCGATCAGTTAGAAGTTGTTCAAAAAGTGGAGTACATATTAGCGGCTGTGTTATAGATAATGGGATCATGAACCGCATGGCAAAAGCTCGAAGCACGTTTGCCAATTTCCGACATCTGTGGCGCCGATTCAACATCACTCTCGCCTGAAGGGCAGAGTTTATATTGCAGCCATGCGTACAACGCTCCTGTACGGTTATGAACCTGGCCTATCAGATCAATAAAGGGGCTAGTAGGTTCAATAATCGTTACCTTCGCAGCTTAGCTGACATCTGGTGGTTACACAGCGTTAGCACTGAATGTGTTCGGCGTCGTGTATTTGGTGCAAGAAGAGCGAGTGAACTGCTCTGCAGTATTATATCACACGCCAGACTCCGCTGACTGGGCCACGTGTTGCACATGCCGGTCCACCAACTCCCGCGACGTGCGTTGTTTGCGCGCCCGGAGTGTGGGTGGATGAAGAGGACGCATGGCCAAGCAATGACTTGGTCAAGCTGGATGGAAGCCATCACTTCGAATTTAACGTCGGTTGTTGTCTCCCGACTGCCGGGCTGGGGTCCGAACGACGATGAACACGTCTGGTTGGGGACATTTAGTAACATGGCCAGGAACCGATCTCAATGGTACTTGGGTTGTGCATCGTTTTGTTCCTCTCGAAACCGTTTAGCTTCCTCCAACACCGATCTCAAATCTAATGCACAACATGATATTTAGCGCTACATTGCATTTTTAGTTCATTTTTAATCTTTTTTGTATGGCGGCACATTAGCTAAGTTGTGTTTCTTACCCTCAGCTAAGGAGTATGGCTGATGAATGGTATTTTATTTGTTGGTGACGTGCGTCAAGATAACCGGATCCATATTGCTTTTGTGGGGATAATCGTGTCCACATATTCCATCCAACGAGTGCGAACTTGCTCGCATTGTCTGGGCGGTTCGCATCTTAGTCCCATTTCCATGGTTGAGATAATATCGGTTGATCATACAGCGGGATAAAGTGTGATAGTTATGAAAGGAGCTACACCAGGACGAAGCATGTCAAAAGAACACAAGAGGATGTCTAGTGAAATCGATCGGATCTTATTTGTTTTTGTATAACAGTTTGCATGGACTGAGCGAGCGGGACAGTCTAATAAGCAGGGAAGTCAATGCTGTCAAGTGAAACACAGCTGTCCATTTCTGACTGACTTTCTTTAATGTACGCGAAATTAAACTAAGCTGCGTCGTGGGCAATGAATTATAATGCAGTCATTATTTGCACTAATCGGTTTGTCTATGCCCTCAGCCGCTTTGTTCTAACTATCGATGGTCACAAAACAACTTGGCTTGCACGAAACATCGAGATAATTCTTTGGCACGCCGACTAGCTCTTCAGGGGGTAAAGTTGGTGGGTCCGTAGTATGTGTTCTGTCCAACTTGTATACAGGCTGAACACAGAATTTTATAATCGTGTTGTAGTCTACCATCTTTGAATATCTTGGTTCGGTGAAAAACCCAACTGGGGTTATATGGTCGATCGTTTTATGTTTGTTTCAAGGTGATTACCCCTTGCTTGTTCAAATGAGCACTGGGACACTATCAAGTACAATTCCGATTGACTTATTCATACCTATGCTACCCGACTTCAGAGTGAAGACGAAACGATCTTTTTCTTCGCTGTGCGGTCCAGGGCGCTTGTGCCCATTGGCTTCGTCAGCGTCGGTGCGGCTGTTGTCAAGGTGGAATGGATCCCGCCCACAACAACTCGTCCGACAAGTGTGGCTGCATATCTGAAGCAAGGGTGCATTTTAACTGTAAGTCATCCGCCCACTTTCGTTTCCTTTCCATCCAGCATACTTTGGTATTATGGACAAGCTTTGAGTAACGTATTATGCAATATCCCAGTACTGGTCCGAGTTGGTGCAAAGTCGGCGTTGATATCAGCCCCAAGCCGATGTCAGTGGGTGCACGCCATTATCAATAGGGAAAGCACTCATTCACTTGAAATATGAAAGTTCCTCTATAATTCCAACTAAAAATATCAGCTAACGAGGGTTGAGGGATAACACTGTCATGTCGTGCGCACTCTTCGGCCACGTACACGCAATTACAAAATTCTAAAACAAAGTAACATGGATTCGACTGGATATAAAATGTTTTCCGATTGGTAAGGTACACGCTTTCGCGCTAGACTTGATGTAGTTGTCAGCTGTTTTGAACACAGAATGATGGACCCTGTCAAAAATTTGGCCTTGGGGACATGAGAATGTGAGGCTTTTGGCTGCGCATGAGGAGTTTGGATGACTCATTGGAGTTTAACTGGTGACCAGTGTTCATCAAATGCCTCGCAATTGGTGAAGCAACCTTGCTTCTCGATTTGCTTGGTGCAACTGTCGCGTGTTCCATCGGGATGAAAGCATCAATATCCATGGAGTCCTTGGTACTCATCAGACCGGTTTGGTGCTCTTTCTGCATGAGTGTCTTACGTTGCAACACGCCAGACGCAACAAGGGACAAAGTCGAATATGGGCCACTGGTTAAACTCCATGGCGCGCGATGCAACCGGAATCGGACGTTGATCCATGAACACAGGAGTCAGGTAACATATAACAGGGGTTGTTAACTAATGTACAGTTGGCATGTGATGAACTTCCATGAATGCAGAAATCAGAAAAGGTAACAGCTCAGCACAAGCTGAAACGATCTATGGCTTTTTCTCAGGTGGCAAAATATCACCCCGTTGTCCCAGCCGAATTAGAGAGTTGTATTACAGGACACCACCCCGGGTCTTTGGCTAAATATCTTGTCAACAATATTACTGAACGAAATTAGGGAATCACACCCAATGGTTGCCGGTGCCTGAGCACTTACTTTGTGATGTTTCCGTTTAGTCAGCTACCAACCAGGGGCCCAATCCTCTCCACAATTTCAGCTAGAGGTTTCTGGAATACAATGTTCCACTGAGTTGAAACAAAAGCAGTGACTTTATTTAGTGGTGAGTCATATCTCCTGCGTAGCAGTGTTGTCACCCAGACGTTTGAGGCTTTTTATTGTGAGAAAGCTTGTCAGGCGAAAAACCCACTACCACCTGAAACACTGCCATGGAACTATTTGCTGGAATGCGAAAACCCGAATCACCAATTGGGTTGTCCAGCGAGTTAACTGTGCAGTAACATAGTAGGCGGTTGCTTCATTTTACTGCGACTGACCAGCAGTACAGCTTTCAAAATGCCCTTCTCTCTCAGTATGACTCTCCTATTCTAACACGGCTTTTTTCTAGCAATAATTGATATCGTCTATTTAAGAAAACTTCCTCGAATGTACTGCGCCAGAAAACATCACTGCGACTACTTTGGAGAATCATGAAAACGAGTTCGTAACATTTAACTTTTGAATCTTTGTTTTCACCATAGGTATTAGTACAACGGAATCAGAATGTAAGTATAAAGGAGCATGTAGCCTAATTCAAGCCCACAGCCACCTCCTTACTCGGAAGTGGACTAAGCCACAGCAGCAGCCATTAATGTGTAACGTGATATTGCACGTTGCATTTGTGCCGAGCAAGATTGGCCTCTACAATACCTGTCTGTCCACTTCCATACAGTTTATTTGGACCCCTGCTACTGCTTAAAATCAATGTCAAGCTATTTCACGGTGCAGTATTACGATTAATATCTCCAAAATGGATTCCGTTATGCTGGAGGCCAATCCTTACTTCCGCTCAGTTGTATCAGTTGCGACATTGAATGATAAACCACCTTGTGTGTGTGTGCTACTAACGTAGTTATGGCCGTCATCATCGTCGTTCACGAACCGACTTACTAAATTGCTACCACGAAAGAAGATGGTCGTAGCATCGAAGCTCACACGCATAGAGGTATGCGAACTGTGGTGGTAGCTGGTCAGTGGTCGGGGAAGCCGATTAGCACCACGAGCTTAAAGCGACCACTTTTATCCGGTCGAGGGAACAAAGTGGAATCAAGGCGTAGTTGGTGATCCAGACATGGTCTCTGTCCTGGTCAGAGGCAAGCGATTTGATCGCGGGTAACACAGTTGCGGAGCTCAGTGCCCATCGCGTGGTGATAGCTGATAGGCCGAGCGGACGAAACTGACGGATGTATAACTAATCAGCGCAAACACCGAATGAACCCAGTGGAATGAATTTGTGATGTGAACAAAGCGCGTCTTCATACCAGCTAAGCAAAGAGTGGTCCAAACATCCGAGCACATCTGAGCACTCAGCTAAATGGCCGGAAATAAGCGACTTTGTAAACTGCTTCTTAGTGAATAGTAATGTACAGTATTAAATACCCCTGTGTTCTTTAATAACAGATATGTGATTGACGCCCAGACTATCTTCTTGATTCACAGGGAGTTATATAATGTAACCCACCGCTGACTTCAAATCTTGTCCACAGATGCGATAAGCATTATGTAAGGGACACAGTTATTTAAATCTATTGGGCTTGGTTGGATAATGCAGTGAGTGCAATATAGCGTAATCACCATGGGTTGTTCACTATTAATATTTACAAAATATTGTGTTTCGCTATCAAGTTGTATTTTCCGACTACTTATACACCCCCTGAATCGCGGTTGCGTAAGATAGTTGAACTAATTTGTTTGGAAATTGCAGCTAAGTTTGAAGCGTCAACGTTCCAACTCCGAACGCTGAAACAAGCAACCTCCGGGTTTTTGTTCGGCTGTATTGAGAGTGTACAGAATGTCAAGCTGAAGTGTCTCGTTTCCCTCGACTAAATCCTCTGCGGAATAGTCGGCCTATACTTTAGTGCTGACTCTAACCGAATGGGTACTTCAGTCTCCGAGTGTTCAGCACCGTCCATGAATCTGTCAACCGGTATTGGTATTGATTGGTTCCCAGAAGGGCTAAACCTTCCTCAGCTTTTACATAGCTAGAACGATGTGGATATTCAAACCTGCGTGTACAAGTTTGTCTTATGTCTAGTTTACTATAGGAATCACTTATTCCACGAGTGCTTTAGACTCTTCTTACAAAAATATCGACCGATCAGGGCACTCTGTTTCCCTTGCGCGTTTTGAGCCGGAATTTAAGTCATCCGGCTTCCCGTGACCTACCCACTTGTATCTCCCTTCTACGTTACTCGAGTGAGTTTCGCTGCTCCGTCTTGCTTGTCCACGTATGATCTCACTATATATCGCCCAACTCGTTGAATTTTTCGAAGTATATACGACTTTCGAACATTCAGGGGTTCAAACCTGGGCACTTGCATCATCTTCGAAACTCCCTCGGTTACATTTTTGAAGGCTATTTAGTATGCCAATGAGGGCAAGTGCATTTTTTATGTGAATGGCATGCGTAATCATTTGGTCGAATATGTCAACCTACATCGCATGATTTCGTCTTGGTGTGTAGCGCTTGTAGGTGTCACCTCATCTCGTCACCTCTGGTCAGCTTTGTGAGTAGGGAACTCAATTTTTCTCGAAAGGAATACTAATCCTTTTAGACTGCAGTATGGTAAACCTTCTCTTTCTGTAAATTTGGCCGCCTCTTATGTCTGATGTTACTTTTAACCGAGTGAGCTGAAAAACGTACCATCCAGCACCAGTGTGAACCGTCCAGTCAATTTCTACACCATACAGACAACAGAGAAGTGAAGTTACCGGTTACCACTTTAGCATGGGTAACTTTGAGCACCACTAGCATCTAGACTAATAAATGCAAAGCTATGCCGCAAAATAACCTGCAACGTATATCCGAGGGCGTAACGGGAGCGATGCACCTGCTCATAGCCCGCAGGTGTTATGGTTGGTGATGTATCAATGCCACTTCCACGGTAGGCTTAAAAGCGAGACAGATATCTTGCTGACTGAAGGAGCCAACGTACTCTATTCGCGGCAAATGTGTGCTTCAACTGCTGATCGACTGTCAGATGCAGTGGGATTTGATGACAAGCACATTGCCTAGTCGGATGTAATTCCACTATGACTAGCATGACGTAAGTGGCGTAAATGATCTAGTTAGATAAGACTCAGAAGATACAAATTTCCTGGAGTAGGATCGTTAGACTAGAAGCAGTTGCTATAGGAGCTCCACCGTCACATCATTCTGTTACTGCTCACAACTGGCAAAATTAGCTGTATCCGCGTTGGCTTCACTAAATGGTCCAAGATTTACCATCACTTGGATTATTGCTCGATTCCTTATGCTGATAGGATCTAATGCACAACCCTATTTCAATGTCGAACTGCTTCTTTAATTGTCACACTCCGGCTAAGCAACGAACGGTTTACAAAATCCTTTGTAATTTGTGTTGCCATACAGTGTTCCGTCTGCGCAAGGCGGTATCAAGCGATACCATTAGTTATTTTGAAACAAACCTGATAATTCTAATCATTGGGGCCAAACCCGAAATGTCGAGATTTTATATGGTACTCGCTTCAAGTACTGCATTTCATGGTTGGTTCCTCCGTTGTTTGAATCATTCGGATAGAAGCGGTTTCGTGACCGATTGAGAGAGGTTTCTGAGAGTGATCACCACTGAGTTTTATTCCATGCTCTAATTATCTCAACCTAAACAGTTCAATAAAAGATAAAACTAATTCATGCCTGCCCAATGGGGAGAGTTCGAGACGGATGATGTCTTTCACAGGTATGGAATTTTGCTTATTAGATTAAAACTTCAAGTGATCGATCGCATTCTAGTGCTACAATCGTGCAACTGATTATTATAAACCTTCTCGGAGAGCGGTAACGCGGAAAATTATGTAAGGCGCGTTTTTGATTTTCGCTTTGCTAAGGAAATGCAACCCACTTTCACTACAGAGATCCTTGCCACCTTGTATCTTGGTAAATGATGTACATTTTTAATTCCTCACTTTCAGCTACCCTATGTTTCTCTTGACGAAGTAGACCAGAGCAAAAGTTTCGCACTACCGATGGTACAACCTAACGGCGGCTTCCATCTTCTCAGTATTAAGTCGCGCCTGTTGCACGAAGAGGAGGGCGCGGAAAAGCTCCGACGTTACGAGATTGAGAAACAGGCCCGGCAAGAATTACGCGCTGCTAGAGCTGAACGTGAGCCGGAAACAGAAGAAGATGCACAACGGTTAGACGAAGGTATGGCGCAGCCCGTGTACACTCTTAAGACAGCAACAGTGACATCGTGTGAATACTGGTAATACTGTAAAGCTGTTACTGAATTTGGTACTGAAAGACGTGTTTATGATCCGAAAATCAGTGGGTAGTGTACTGTATGAACTGTGTTCACGTGAATGAGTGACTCGTTATTTCTAGCCCTTTTATCCATCACTAGGGGACCGAAGTTGTCTTACGCATACCTCAGAGAAGCGGCTGTCAATGTGCTCGACGACACCACCTTGTATAACTTGTTTGCTAAGGGACAGTGCAAACAATTGCTGTATGCTAACCCCCCACTTCCTCCGGAATGAATTCGTATACAGCAACACAGTTCGCCTATGGATCCGAAGCTTCTAGCAATCGAATGTTAGAAGCAAAGTATAAAACCAATGTTGTTGGCAACTCGTAACAACGTTAACCCTACGTGGGTAAGTTAATGCAACTATTGTGCCGGGTGTATGGCTGAGGCAATGTCTGTATGTTTTGGATCACAGATGCACAGATATGAAAGTATCTTTGTATGTACGAGCTATTTATCACTGACAACGACTCAGTGATTGCAGCATCTGTCGGTAGACTCGCCGTTAACTTTTTAGGTTGAAGCCCGAGTCTACCGTGTTCACCATACAGCACCACAACATACCTCTAATTCGATGATATTCGGCAATCATGGGTGGCAAGACACGTTGAATACCTTCCGATGAGCATCCCAACGTTCAGTCTGGTGCGCGTAGTGGCGCACGCAGTTGGTTTGCGAAATAATCACCATATCTTTGCACACTGTTTCTCTCATCAGTTGCCTGTTTCTTGTCTACGTTTGGTAGAGGACAGTACCAGAGTTGAGAAACTTTGCACGCAAGTGTTAATGAATTATGTGAACTTGCATTGGTGAATGTGTTGTTTGATTTCCCTTTTCGACCAAACAGAAGAAGAGCTCATTCGTCAAGGAGTTGTATCTGAAATTGCCGACTGGGCACCCACCTACCCCGAGAAGCCGTCAACCGTCCTTTACGGTTGCCTCGATCCAAACGACCCGAATGAGTTTTGGCTATCTACGGTAAGTTCTTTTAAGTATATCACTCGATGTTAGCTACTTGAAGATGCTATGCGACTACTGATTACATTGTGTATTTAGAGTTTACGTAGTATCTGAATATGCCTCCACAAGTTCCCGCTAACCCTTGTGCAGCACATTTGATACTGCATGCACATTTATTGTTGGATGTCCTACTTTACTACGAACTATTTGTATTTATTCAGCACGCATAGAAAGTAGACGTTTCTGGTGCCTTATCTAAGACACATTCGAAGCTAACTTGTGCGTCTTTGGGATTGCAGATTCAGTCTGAACGGGTTAGTCCAAGCGTAATGATTGTGGGGGATGTCAGGAGGAGGAATTCGGGCGGTTAGGGAAGTAACTCATGATGGAGAGCCGTGACAAATCGGGGAATCGTAGTATGTACGCTAGCTGTTCAGTCTCTTGGTATAAATTAGCTCTTTATACCCTAAGGAATTTTCACTGTAGGAATGTATAAGTGTTGGATTATGTCAGTTGACATCATCTTTGCCGTTGCTACCACATCGGCAACCGTGGGGCTTTGAAACGCTTGAGAACGATTGACCCACAAACACTTAAGCAAGCTTATGCATGGACTTCTCAAAGTAAAAGTGGAATTCATCGAAGGCACTTTGCGCTACTGTATAATACGAGGGTAGAGCAATAAGTTTCCGAATGCCAAAAAGCTTTATTTCTTACAACCAAATAAGCATTTTATTTTCTCGAAGTATTTTCCACTAGCGTTCACGCACAATTTCATGTGCTCAAACCATTTGGAGAAACAACTAGATCATGCCGAAGCAGATAATGTTTCAGACAGTTTCATAAAGGCCTCTAATACAGCTTCTGGAGGCTCGTAGCGAATTTCAGGCATAATGCGCTTGACATTTCAGAACACAAAAATTCACCCGGAGTCATGTATGGACTGTAGGGTGCGTGATCAACCCATGGATACATTCGTTAGCCAGAAAATCCACAACGACATGAAACCTATGTGCAGATGCGTTATCATGGTGCAGCTCGAGACCTTGGACGACGCCTGGTTATAGCTTCCTGCATTTGTGGCAGGCAGTAGGTGGCCTGCCAGTCTCCGGTGACTGTGTGTTGTCGTGCGAAGTGTACAGCAGCCACATCGCCGATCTTGGCCACGAACACAGGCACCACTTGATTGGTCACACTGCGCTCGTGGCGGAATTTTTGTGGTGGCTCTCCACCAACGCCATCCACTGAGCCGATCGTTGCTTGCTCTCTGGGTCGAAACTGTACATCCAGATCTCATCACCATTGAGGATCTCCCAAACAACATTGGAACACCCATCATCAGACTTGGCAAGCATGCCAAGGCATCAATTCACCCGAGCTGCTTTCTGGTCCTCACTGAGCTGATGGTGTACCCAGCGTGCGCAAATCTTTCTGAGGCCTAGGTTCTCAGGTATTATGGTGCGGATTGATCCCCAGCTATACCACAGCCATCAGCGTGTCCTCCTTTAGCGTGTCTTTCATAGCAGCAATGTTGTCCGCAGTGGTGGCATCCACAGGTCGAGCGCATCATCCAGGGACCGTCTGCGACGCTTGAATTCCGCTGACCACACATACATGGTGGTTCTATTAGGCACATCATCACCAAACTCAGGACGTAAGCGCTCAACACTCCGGCGCTACTTTATTGCACATTTTAGTCATAGACAATCATCGCCATGCAGTGACATCGACTGAGTTCCATAATTACAGTCAGGGTTTAACAACTCTTATGACTTGTGAGCTGTGCTGAGCTGCTGTTAAAGGGTTATGTGAGTTGAAATCACTAAACAATGTTCAACGTGGATTACAGTTCACATCATTCTTTCTAGATCATCTGCACCTAATTTGTGTACTGCGTATCCGGAAACATTGTTCTGCCCTCGTTTGTGAGAAAAAAGATGTAGCTGTCTATGTACCAGAGTTGTCAGGAGGTACGGGTGCATTACACACTTTCGTTGAGGAAATATTTTCGATTTTGCTGCGTTATGTTTCCTGCAAGCAGAAAAGTGTGATGCTTTGGCAGCATAACATGTTTCTAGTCCACATGTCGATTGAACACTAGTTGCTAGCAAGTGATAATGTAATTATCGCTCCGGCCTTGCACTTTTCTATTGCCCATGCAACGTGGGTATCCAGCCATTCTTCCCGCATTATGCGCGGTGTTACTGGACCTCTACAGAACCAGGTCACTAATGGCAATTAGCCGGTGTATGTTTTACAAGTTTTGTTTAACTCACCGGTCAACGCAAGCTACGTTTCACTCATGTTTTTCTCGTGCTTGCACTCTGTCTGTACGTTCAAACACTGCATTCTGCGTTCCAGACTGGACCACAAAACATGCACCAACGCGTCTCATGCACTCATATGTTTCTACACACACTGTAGATTGCGAGTTCCATCTCGATAGATGGCATATCAAACATAAGCTTGCTGTCTGTGAATTTCCCGATGTCATGTCATGTGAACTACTTCTTTGCTCTAAACGCCAGAGGTGGAATTCACATGTTTTTTCTGAAACAGCAGGATGTCATTGCATTCATTTCTTCCCTAGCGACTTGCAAATGAACGGGCATTCCCCCAAAGGGTAACAGTTAGTTCGTTACTCTGATCGCCCTTAGGACGGGATTACATCAGATTGGATGTTTGTGAGTAGTGTAATGTTCGTCATCATCATCATCATCATTACACGTTAGCTGGAGGTGGAAAACACCTCAGCTATTGTGCCGCAATACAAAATAAAAGAAAAGGAAAAAAGGAAAAAACAGTGGCACGCCCGCTGAGTCCCCAGTAACGGATGGACATCGTTCCGGAGAGCTAACAGCTGGCTGCCGTAAAAAGAGAATCATATTATGCCTAACAGATGAGATCGTGGTTGGAGGGGGATACTAAACAGGAGAGGGATGGGCAAAGGAAATCACAACACAAACGCCATTGGTGCCGGCTCCGAGCCATATCAGCAAGTGTGTCCAACCAAACGTCTTCATCGTCCTTAGGACCCCAGCCAGGCAGTCGGGATGCACCAACCGACGCCAACTTCGAAGTGAGGGTTTTCATTTCTCTCGACCAAGTCATCACTTGGCCTCCCCTCCTCCTCTTCCAACCGCACCCACAACGCGCAAACAATGCACGTCGCGGTGTGTGTAATGTTCGTAGAAAGTAGCATTTCCGATTAAACTTCATACAATAATCCGCCTCGACGGGGAATCGAACCCCGGTCCCACGAATTTCCGGTCCGTTGCTCTACCACTGAGCTACCGAGGGCTGACGATTAGGTGTGGAATTTAATATATGATTTCTGCTTGGTGCGCGACGTATTGCACATACGAAAGAGTCGCGCGGTAGGACTAGCCATGTGACTAGTATAAACGAACACCGACTTACATTTACTTTTACTCGTACTGTGTATTTTCACGCCGAAACTGTTGGAACCTATATTTTAGGCTCACAAGGTGTTTAGCTATATTCATCAGGCCATTTAGAAAGAGATAAAAGCATCAGCAGTACGCCGGTACTGCGTACCGGCAATTCGCTGGCACGCAACCACCACCGGTCGCACGTGGGCTAAGGATACTGCGAGGCTCGCCCTGCCCCTACCTAGGCTCGAACCCGCGCAGTCAGATTACAAAACCAGCTTGTTACCCTTAGACTACGGGCCGGTTCATGCGTGGGTCAAATCGCTGTGTCGTAATCAGATGTCCGTTGCAGAGGTCACCTGCCTCAAATGTTTAGGTTACGAAAGATAGCTTCTTTCACTCTCTGGAACCTGACTTTCTTGCTACCATGTCGCTTCCAAAACCCATTAAGGAAGTGTTAGTTAACCGGAAGACAGAACTACTCACGAAAATGACAAATCTACAGTTTCTGCTGCGGAGCGAATGCACAATTTATGTTTTCAGCTGATGAAAACTTCTAAAGGTTACGCAAAAATTACACACCTCTAATTTTAGGATGACTACGACTGTGGCTACCTTTACAAGTGTACCTTAGGTAAGCCACCAATGACCGAGAAAGATGCACGTCTGAGGCTGCGAAAGGAAAAGGCCGAGCGAAAGGAAGCCCAACGGGTGCTGGCCGCGAGGGATTCAGTATTACCTGAGACTACAGTTGATGACGATAGTGAACGTCAGGTGATGGAGGATTCGACCGATCCAGATTCTAATTCAGATAAAAGCCAACTCTCTCTGGGGGATTTGTTGCCACCAACAGAAGCACATGCCTCCGCCAAGCTGTTAGGTAACACGGAGACACCTATCACCTACTGGACCTTCTCTGCTACAGGCAATCGATTATTTGTTGGTATGAAAGATGGCTGTGTCCGAGTCCAGCTCCTCGAGCGCCCGTTTGACATCACCAGTTTGAAGGACTACTGGGTGTTGAGGATGCACGACAACACACGGGGAGCAGTGAACAAGATAACGCTGACGCACGACGAGAAGTAAGTTATTTGCATAACATACGCTTTAAATCCTACTGATCCTTAACTTGATGAACACGGGTAGTGCGAATAAGTGTCAGACACATGACAGCTAACCATATCGGATCGTAGCGGTTTTCTGTTGTTTGGCTGATTGCCAAGAGGAAAGCTGGTAAACTCATTCCACTGTTGATAGCACTCTGCTTGATGCCTCATAGCCTCGCCCATGTCGATGGCCAGTCAAGCGGTAACTATAGATTACATGTAACGAAATTGAACATATTCTTTAAGAAAGACACCTATGGCAGTGCGTAACAGCATTGTATCAACCATTTGAACCGGAATTTCGCTGCCGTAAAACCATGGTGACCTACAGAGCGAAGAATGATAAATGGGATAAGGCGGACCTAGCGTAAAACCTTAATGTCCAGAACAAACATTTAGGGTCAAAACGCCTACACCTTGTCAAAAACATACCAGTACTGATAGCTATTTCGCGGACATATGGAGACATCGGCGAGACAGCTTCCGTGTGCTTTTCACCGTCCTGCGTCAAAATCAGCCATTACCGGACCCACTGTAAACAGTCACTACGACTAGGAGACAAAAGTAGACACAAAACTGGTGCCTACTTCGAGTCGTCCTTTAGCATCTCGAGACAACCAAAAAGTGGTGCCGTGGACTACAGCCTGGAAGGCCAACCTGACCGAGAGCACCCAGTTTTGAATTCTGCATATATATATATATATATATATATATATATATATATATATATATATATATATGGTTGGCGGCATCCGGTTTCGGATTTGCCTGTCACTGTGGTCAGTTACAGGACGCCTGCGCCTACAGAGAGACCATGGATGGCTTGCGCTGCACCACCCACAGCTCCATTCACACACCCCATATCCAGTGTAAACCCGAAGGAATAAGACCGGGAGGCATGCGGATGGGAGCCACGTTTCATCAACGGAGCCGGCCCACACTCCTTCACAGGCAAACACAAGCACGCTGTATTTGGGGAATCAAGTGCACACAAGGCGGTGGCTGGACCGTAGTCCGCTCCACACTGAGTGCATGGAATCGCTCTTTGAGCCTAGCACGGACACAAGAACCGTGCACCCCGTCCCCTCCAGCAACGACCAGCTGTCTCCTGGAGCCAGTATGGACGAGGTAGTGGGTAATAGACAGGTAGGCACCTTGTCAACATGCACATCAAGTGCAACCACACCGGGGATATCAAACAACAGCGAAACACTTGAGAGAGAGAGAGAGAGGGAAAGAAAATAACTCGATTGATGCATACGGAAACGGTGATATAAACCTTAAGTTAATGAGCATATGAAATAAGTTGTTTACAAACGAATCCTAGATAAGTTCACGAGGTGAGAAAGTATACTATACGGAAATGCCACGAACACAAAAATGTTATGGAAATCGAATACAATTGGCTTAAGCGAGGTGTGCAAGTTAATGTAATAGAGTACAGGTAGACATTTATATGAGAAAGAAAAGCATTAAGGCAAAATTGAAAACCCACCACCTGAAATTAAGAGACTGAGCATGCAAGCACGCGGTTAGTAAAAAGAATGCAGCGTATCTACAGACGCTGCGCCGGTTTTGAATACTTCTCTGCAGGACCCGTCATCGCTTCTGTAGTGGTCCCGAGTGGCCTCGCTCATGGCTCACTAGACACTAGAAATTGATAGGAAAAAGAAAGGCATTAGGACAAAACTGAAAACCCACCACCTGAAATAAAGAGACTTAGCATGCAAGCACGCGGTTAGTAAATCGAATGCAGCGTACCTACAAACGCTGCGCCGGTTCTGCCTATGTTCTCTGCAGAACCCGTCGTCGCTTCGGTAGTAGTCCGGAGTGGCCTCGCTCATGGCTCACTAAGCCTGCCTGACTAAGGCACTCGCGACCGCATGTGCTACAGCACCATGCGCTTGATGTCGATGGAGTACAATCCATCGGTGCTTGCCGCTTCCGCACTTGCCGCTTCTTCTCTGCATGCATGAGGGCTTTCTCCCGCACTTCAGCAACTGCCTTCGTGATTAGATCGCGCCATGCACCACGATCAACCGCCTTCGATTTCCATGATCTGCAATCAAGATTAGAACGTGTGAGGCTCACTTTGATCATGTCCTGGTAACGTAACTTTGGTTTCCCCACGTGCCGATTCCCAATACTCAGCTGACCGTATAAGAGTTGTTTCGGTATCCGCTTCGAATCCATACGGCTCACATGACTGAGCCACCTCAGGTGTCTCAATAAAAGTATGCAGTCCACTGCATACATCCCACTTCGGTGTAAAACTTCCTTGTCTGCAACTCTGTCGCCCCAGCCGGTCCGCAAAATTCGTCGCAGACAATGCTGATGGAACCGCTCGAGATATCGCACATCCCGACGGTACATCGTCCACGTTTCACTGCCGTATAGAGGAACGGACAGTACCATGGATTTGTACACCATCAGCTTCGTGCCAATGGTAAGCTGATGGTTGTTCCACACTCGGTACTCAAGCTTCCCGAATGCTGCCGCTGCCTTCGACACGCGAATACGCAGCTCACTGTATAGCTGCTGATCAGTCGACATCACACTCTCAAGGTAGCTGAAACGGGACGTAGTTTCCAATACTTCAGCACAAATGCTGATTCGCGGCAATATTGAAGATTGCACCTCCGGTGAAGGCTGAAAGAGACAGACAGTTTGCTTGTGTTGATGGTGAGCCCGAAGTTGGCCGCTGTCGAAGCCAGAGCACTAGTCATATGCTGCAACTCATCCGCGCTGTGTGCAAACAACGCACAGTCGTCAGCAAACAAAAACATACGGATACCTGTCTCACAGACTAGAGTGCTCGCACCGAAACGACGGATGTTCAGCAACCCAGCTAATACGTAGTACCACTAAGCATGTAACGCACGCTTCCGAGACACGTAATCCCAGCAAGCAGAAGACGTCTAAGCAGCAGGAGGTTTATCAATCAATTGAGGAAGGTACAAGACTCACGGAACTCGCGTTGCGAGACCGGGGGTGTATGTCTGATGATTGGCTGGCTGTTTTGTGTGGTAACCAATCCACGCACGGCTGAGTAACCGGATCGAAGTCATTCGCGTACGTGACATCCCCTCACCTCTTGAAATGTTTATACTCCTGGCACGAACCGGTCAACGGGTTTATGCGTACGTTGAGATCTGCGAAGCGTTGGTTCATCTGACGATTGTACAGAATCCTGGGGTTTTGCTTCCGTTTCCGGCTGAACGGTTGCTGATTCACCCAGACGTTCATCTGCTGTTGTCCCCACAAAACGTGATCGTATATGGTCCGAGTGTCGCCTTACTATTCGACCATTTAATTCAAGATCGGCTTGGGTACAGTCACCTTTAATTACGGTTGCGGGTTGCCAGCAGTGCTCATGGGGAAGTCTTGTGTATACGGGATCACCCGGCTGCCAACTAGAGTCTTGGTTATTTTGCGATGCGGCAGCCTTGTCTTGTTTCTTCTCCATTTGTGCTCTATGATTTGGAAACAGAAGATCCAGTCTGGTACGGAGTGTTCTGCCAAACATCATCTCCGCGGGTGATTTACCAGTGGCTTCCGAGGGCGTTATCCTGTAAGCAAACAGCAAGCGATCTAACCTCGTCTGAACAGTTCCTGGTGCTTGTTTCGAGAGATCTCTTTTAATTGTCTGTACCGCCCTTTCCGCTAGCCCATTAGAAGCAGGGTGATACGGAGCTGTACGGACATGCTGGACACCATGGCTATTCATGAAGATTTCAAATTCTTTGCTAGTGAAACATGGCCCATTGTCTGTGCAGAGTGTCTCCGGTATCCCAAATATTGCAAATGACGACCGCATTTTGGAGATAGTTGTCTCTGTAGTAGGTTGGGTAACGGGATAAACATCTATCCATTTCGAGTGAGCGTCAATTAGCAGCAGGAAGAATACACCATTAATGGGTCCAAAGTAATCCGCATGGATGCGCTGCCATGGCTTTTCAGGCCAACGCCAATTGTGTACCGGACCGGGAGGTTTATTTGACTAATACTGCTGACACAAACCACATGTTTTCAGATAGTTCTCTATCTCTGTATCTAGGCCAGGCCACCAGCAATAACCGCGCGCCAAGGCTTTCATTCGGGCTACGCCTGGATGTGCGTTGTGGAGTTCCTTTATGATGAATGGCCGTGCCTTTAGCGGTGGAATCAGACGCGATCCCCAAAACAAGCATCCATCGTGAAGGCTCAATTCATTTTTCCGTTGTGCGTAAGGTTTAAGATCGACGGGAACTGTAGTAGGCCAGCCGGTTTTTGTAAATCGCACTACAGAAGATAGCGTTGGGTCACGATCGGTCCACTGACGTATGGTGTCACCTGAGAATGGAGTGGTGTCGAGGTGTTGCATTAGATTTACAAGCTCTACTGGTTCCTCCAGTATTTCGTCTGGGGTCGCATGTGGTAACCTGCTTAATGCATCCGCTGTATGATTGTTCAACCCAGGAATATACGAGATTCGATATTTATATGCACTTAATATTAATGCCCAGCGTTGCATTCTCGGTGAAAACATCTGCTCGATTCCCTTTGACTCGCTCAGCAAAGATATCAGTGGTTTGTGGTCAGTTTGTATTTCGAAATAGTTCCCCCAAATGTACTGATGAAACCTCTTGACGCCAAATATAACTGACAGGGCTTCTTTATCCAGCTGGGAGTAATTCTTTTCAGCTGGTTGTAAAGTTCGTGAAGCAAATGCAATCGGGTGTATGATACCATTGGACATTTTGTGACATAGAACTGCTCCGACTCCGTATGGAGAGGCATCACATTGTAAGATTAACGGTTTTTCACTATCGTAATGGACCAAAACAGGTGCGGAAGCAAGACACTTCTTTGCACAAGTAAAAGCAGATTGATGCTCACTTTTCCACATCCACGGGATGTTTTTGTGTAACAGTTCGTTTAATGGAGCAAGAATGGTCGAGGCATCAGGTAGGAAACGACGATAGTGGGACAGCATT